CATGGACTTGTAAAACTCATGGACTTGTAAAACATGCACTTGTAAAACATGCACTTGTAAAACTCAAGGACGTTTTTTATCACATATAAAACCACCGACACGGTAGTGGTTTGTCTTTTCCTCATGAATTATTAATTATTTTTAAGAATAATAAAAGACCATTAAGTCTGGTTCACATATAACTGCGGTATGTCGGCGGGCTATTGTTGTTAGCAGTTCAATCAAATAATTCACAAAAGAATGTATGCATCTGTAGAATGCATGTTGTAAAACTCATGGACTTGTAAAACTCTTTGAGAAACGAGGTATTTTTGTCCTTGTTGGGTCACTTGGGTGCATAAAACCAGAGATTGCGGTCCTGAGAGTCCTAGATTATAAATAAAGCCCCCCCCCCCAAACCGTCCGCTATGGTGCGGTGCTAAACTTGGCACGGACACCGCAATTTTGCAACAGGGGATAGGTTGTATAACCCCAGCGAGTTAACGCTCTTTCGAGCGTCTTGTTATATTTGAAATGTAAATCCATGTTTACTGTAGTAAAAAAGTTTAAAAATAATAAAAATGCATATCATGAAAACATTGATTTCCACAATATAGCCGGTTACAGACGAGCAAGTCTTCTATGACAAGTTTTTATGTGACAAGTTTTATTTGCCAAGTGCACGTCTGTATATGCAACAAATTTTATATGACAAGTTTTCATATGACAAGTTTTATTTACTGGTGTGAATGTGTCAGAAAAAGGTGTTTATCGCCGCCATGACAGAAAAATTATAATAGTCCGCTGGCCAATTACACCAAATGCTCAGATTACTTTGACAAGTTTTCTTTGTTGACCCATACAGACGAACAAAATTTGTACTTTGACAATTTTTTCTATGACAAGTGCACTTGTTCAAAAGCTAGCATGTGCGTGTACAGACGAGCAAAAAAAACTTGTCACATAACTGAAAACTTGTCACAGAAAACTTGCTCGTCTGTAACCAGCTTACGACTCATACGAGACATCGCCATTTTGGCAGTTCAATGAATAACTTGGGATCCAAGGATAGTCTAAAGTTTCAAAATCTTGTCTATATGGCTCTTTTGCGTACGTTATATGCTGGCATTAATTTTATATTACGATTACGATACAGTATCATTTTCAAATATATAAACATTTCAGACATGAATATTGAGAAAATCTTTGAGATTCTATCCTCGTTGACGTCGCGTCGTCTTTGCTAAACCTCGCTATTGTATTGCGTTTACGAAGAAAATAACCGACAAAATAACTTGCGAGACTAAAGAAAATCTCTTGACTCGTCAGAACTCTTTATTCAAACGAGAAAGACGAGGAGATAGCCAACATGTTATCGCCAATCGAATCGCTTGATTTTCCAGCAAGCTTTATGACTGAATCATAGATTATAGATCATACCAGATGTCTCACTCAGCCAAAATTGTGTCCGCGATTTTTTATGAGCACGCGTTGGCCGCCATTTTGGCAGTAAGTGTAATCCACGCCATGAAACGTGAGCAATCACGCATTTTGGCAGTAAGCGCCATTTTGGCAGTAAGTGTTGCACGCGTCATCTGGCGTGATAGCCTTGCGAAAATCGCGGACACGAAAATCATAGGGATAGATACACAATGAGACATCTGGTATAATCTATAATCTATGACTGAATAGAAGAAAAAGGCAAGGAGCTATCCACTGTCTAGCTCCTTCCCAGCTCTGTATAATGAATATACCGTCCAAATAATATCGGTACTTGATTGAATGCCCGTAATGCATAACATCAATTTATATATTGTGTAAATTCTCAAAGATTTACTTTTCACGTAATATATTTGAAAACAAGTAAACAACACAGTGTCGCTCCTTCCGAGCATCGTCACGCCATCGATGATCTACTACAAAAACTTACAATAACGACAACGATTCCTCGAAATGTTTGTGAACAAACAGGACTTAAAAAACGACCCACTTGTAAAACATGCACTTGTAAAAGTCATGACTTATAAATAAACATGGACTAAGCCAAGAAAATCAAAACTAAAGTCAATGTATGATATAAATGAACATGTTTTTTATCACATATAAAACCACCGACACGGTAGTGGTTTGTCTTTTCCTCATGAATTATTAATTATTTTTAAGAATAATAAAAGACCATTAAGTCTGGTTCACATATAACTGCGGTATGTCGGCGGGCTATTGTCGTTAGCAGTTCAATCAAATAATTCACAAAAGAATGTATGCATCTGTAGAATGCATGTTGTAAAACTCATGGACTTGTAAAACATGGACTTGTAAAACTCATGGACTTGTAAAACATGGACTTGTAAAACTCATGGACTTGTAAAACCATGGACTTGTAAAACTCATGGACTTGTAAAACTCATGGACTTGTAAAACATGGACTTGTAAAACTCATGGACTTGTAAAACATGGACTTGTAAAACTCATGGACTTGTAAAACATGGACTTGTAAAACTCATGGACTTGTAAAACATGGACTTGTAAAACTCATGGACTTGTAAAACTCATGGACTTGTAAAACATGGACTTGTAAAACTCATGGACTTGTAAAACATGCACTTGTAAAACTCATGGACTTGTAAAACATGGACTTGTAAAACTCATGGACTTGTAAAACATGGACTTGTAAAACTCATGGACTTGTAAAACATGGACTTGTAAAACATGGACTTGTAAAACTCATGGACTTGTAAAACATGGACTTGTAAAACTCATGGACTTGTAAAACATGCACTTGTAAAACTCATGGACTTGTAAAACATGCACTTGTAAAACTCATGGACTTGTAAAACATGGACTTGTAAAACTCATGGACTTGTAAAACATGGACTTGTAAAACTCATGGACTTGTAAAACATGGACTTGTAAAACTCATGGACTTGTAAAACATGGACTTGTAAAACTCATGGACTTGTAAAACATGGACTTGTAAAACTCATGGACTTGTAAAACTCATGGACTTGTAAAACATGGACTTGTAAAACTCATGGACTTGTAAAACATGCACTTGTAAAACTCATGGACTTGTAAAACGCATGGACTTGTAAAACATGGACTTGTAAAACATGGACTTGTAAAACATGGACTTGTAAAACATGGACTTGTAAAACATGGACTTGTAAAACATGGACTTGTAAAACATGGACTTGTAAAACTCAAGGACTTGTAAAACATGCACTTGTAAAACTCATGGACTTGTAAAACATGCACTTGTAAAACTCAAGGACTTGTAAAACATGCACTTGTAAAACTCAAGGACTTGTAAAACATGCACTTGTAAAACTCATGGACTTGTAAAACTCATGGACTTGTAAAACATGGACTTGTAAAACATGCACTTGTGAAACATGGACTTGATCTTCGAGCGAATTTATTATCGATGATATGTTTCTCTATAAAAATACACGAATTATTCTGCTGTGCTCGTTTGCTCCTGCCCCCACCTTATTTTGCCCCCGGAATTGGACAGACAACAACGAAATAGATTGGACCGAGTCAACATAATTTAACTTCGAAAATATTTAATCCTTTTTTGCATATCTATGTTAAATAGTTTTTTTAACTTACATTTTGACAAAAAAAACTTCCAGTAATTAAGCTAAATTCATTGGAAAACATGAATTTCGATAGACATAGTTCACTAACTAAACAAAACAAAACTCACAACAAAACATTTCATTGTCCTTAGTGCCTAACAAATATTACTGGTATCCATTATTAAATATTCAATCGTATATCCGTGTGAAAGGAAAGCTTGGCTGTAGTAATGTCCGCAAACGGAAATTGCCAACACAGTCAATCAAGAATTTCAGTCAATGATTCTCAAGGCCAAACAATCAACATAAAAACAATCAACAAGTAAACTAAATTTTAATTAACCGACAATGTTTTTTTCCTTGCGAGTTCGAATCCCAAGGGACATCAAATTTCCATTGAATGAATGGAACTTGAATTATTATACTTTATTTTATTCCTAAGAATCATTCTTTAGTGTAATTTTTATTTTTAAAAGTAAGTTTGCAATGGAAAAGCCTACAATTAAAGTTAAAATCACTGAAGTTAAAAAGTTTCCAAGGAAAGTGGCAAGTGTTTTCCAATTAATTTAATAAGCCGATTTTTCTCATATTTTCGCGAATTTTGAAAGCGCTTGCAACATCAAACGCTTGTAACTCCATCAATATCGTACCGGTAATTTAGTATTATACATCAAAATCTAAGTTAGCCCTTCCTGCATGCAATGGAGTTTATTTCAGCGCAATAGCTTTTATAGTTTTTGAGTTATATTAAAACAAACAGGTAAAGTTTTTTTTGGACACCCAGAATATACGTATTTTCCATCTTTAGTTATTTTGCTGAAAATTAAGTCCCAATTTAATTTAACAAATATTCAATCGTAATGTTCTTGAAGAAGAAATGGGATAAGATCGTCTTCTCCACCACACGACCTTGTTCTTACCACCAGGCTCCACCGAAAATATGTCAACGACGGGGTAATGCAAGTCTCTCCATCGATCTCACCGGTGTATATACACACTAGCCAGTATTGTGCGCGGAATGCACTACTTGAATTTACACTTGCATCCTGCCACTTGCCCCCGCATCCATAGCAACGCGATACTCTGCTGTGAAGGAAAGGCAACCTTCCAAACATGAATACGCCAGGGCTAGGTCTTGGACGTACGGGATAACGAGGCTGTGCGCCAGCGGCTATTTGAAAATTAGCTGCTTGACGTTCAGCGAAGGCGCTTGCGGACGATGCCATTTCAGGTCGAAAGGGAACGTTTGTCGATGATACTCCTGGATGAAAGAGAACGCTTGCCGATGTCATTGCAGCCCGTAAGGGAACACTTGCCGACGTTATTACAGGGCGAAAGGGAACGCTTGATGACGCCATTGTAGGCAGAGATGAAACACTTGACGATGACGCCATTGTAAGCTGAAATGGAACGCTTGACGATGACGCCAATGTAGGCTGAAATAGAACGTTTGACGATGACGCCATTGTAGGCTGAAATGGAACGCTTGACAATGACGTCATTGTAGTGCTGAAAGAAAACGCTTAACGGCGCCATTGTAGGCCGAAAGGTACGACTTGCCAATGTTACCTCACGATGAAAGCCAGCGCTTGTCGATGTTACACCAGTCTGGAAGCACATGAAGTGAACAACACGACTTGCAACAACGGGCATTCCTTCGGTTGGTGTTGCATTGGCGGCTCCTTTTCTCTTTCGTGTCACGTCGACTTAATTCCTTTATTCAGGAACGCGTTTCTGCTTCTTGAACCACGCCAGAAATTCTTTCAGGCGCTCTATATTTTCAGATACGGCCAAGGTATGCGAGCACAAACTATATGTTGACCAATTCACACACGCTTTGTCACACGTCACCTTGCCGCTTTTTGGATATACGATCACTCTGTGCGGGTTCTCGGATGAGGTGCTGTGAACCACGAAGGCCGGTTTATCTTCGGTGTCTGTCGTAGGCATCTTCCAGATATAAGAAGGGCTGTTTACCAAAGTGGCAGCTTTGCCAAACATTCCTGTGAAAATAGGAAATGGGACGCCGATAATCCCCGATTCTTCTGGACTTGTTGATAAGGCTTTCGTATCGTTTGGTCGCTTGGTATGGGCACTTGGTGTTTCCATTACTTTGATGGAAAAGAACTTCTTCCGCAGGGAAGTCTTCTGGCCATCTGTCATTGAGTAGAAGTTACGTTTTTGAACTTCGAAGATCAAGTCCATGTTTTACAAGTCCATGTTTTACAAGTCCATGTTTTACAAGTCCATGTTTTACAAGTCCATGTTTTACAAGTCCATGTTTTACAAGTCCATGTTTTACAAGTCCATGTTTTACAAGTCATGTTTTACAAGTCATGTTTTACAAGTCCATGTTTTACAGTCCATGTTTTACAAGTCCATGTTTTACAAGTCCATGTTTTACAAGTCCATGTTTTACAAGTCCATGTTTTACAAGTCCATGTTTTACAAGTCCATTCCCAAAGGTTTAGCATATGTTTCAAATTATTTCCCATTAAATGGGGGTCCATTGTCAGTTTTTATTTTTGATGGTATTCCACATCTGGCAAAAATCGTATCTAATTTTGGTATGCAAGTTTTTGCTTCGGTTAAGTCGACTATTTCTACCTCTGGGAATTTTGAGTAGGTATCGATAACCACTAGCAGGTATTGACCAGTTCGGTGTACTGGACCATAGAAGTCTATTGTACTCATGCAATAAAGCAAATGAACTGGTGGTAAATATATTTATATCAATAGGAAAGGTCTTCACAAATCTTGTTCATATTCGACATTATATACAGTGGAATGCACAATCGAGTGTGTTCACATGCATTTCGTGAGCTAAATATCTTGTTAGAAGCCAGGAATATTCTATCCAAATCAAAATGGCCTTCCTACGATTCACTCGATTGACGTTGGTCAATTTCCATATATAAATAACTAAGATAACTTGAATAAATCTCGACAGAATTGCTGCATAATTTACGGTATGTAACTTGGTCGTGCTTTCGAAGACGAACACGAAAAGAAGACAAAATTGGGCGAGATACGCATGCGCGAGGAGCAATTTAGCCAATAGAATGCGTTGGAATTTATAATTTAGTCGTGCTCGCATGACGAGAGCACGACTAACAGGCGGATTACCCGATTAATAGTCGTGCTATTAACCCGCGGTCGGGTGAAACTATGCAATCATACCTCGAATTAGTTTAACATCAGAGCAGAATCACAGGATTTGAAAGGTTTTCGCACTTAATAGATGACGCAAGTGTACCATGAATCATTTCAGATTTTGGGGGGAATTTTTTTAAGACTGAAAAATTATTTTCTTTGAAAATGTTTACTCGTGCTCAGCACGAACTCCAGCTTCGCCACTGGAATGCATTGCGGTGCCCGTGCCATTTTTGGCACCGCATTATATTCTGCCTGTGAGTTTGTCCGTTTGTTTGTTAGTTTGTTAGTTTGTTCGCATCAATACGTTTCCTTAATCGCCTACCAAAAATTCCTTGCACGTGCTCGGAATTTAATAATTATTATGAATCGTGTACTCTCATGATGATCGACTGTTTGCTTAGCTTTATCTCTGGTTTCATGCGTCAAACAAGGACAAAAATACCACTGTTCGAATCAGCGTGAAAAGTTGTATTTACGGATGGAAAATTGATTTCAAAATTGACTTCTATTCTAGCGATTTGTCGCCTTTGAAAGACAAAAGCCGCTCAAAATAATCCTTCACGTTTTTCGAATTCCTTTTTTCGAGGAAAGTTTTCTTTCGAATTAATTTCGAACTCTCACGATTGACTTTTTGCTGCGTCTTATGACTCTTATCTCTGGTTTTATGCGCCCAATAAGGACAAAAATACCAACCGTTCGATTCAGTGTAAGAAATTATACTCACAGATGTCAAATGTATTACTAAACTACAGTATTCTAGCGATTTATGGCCTTTGAAAGACAAGCGAAATTGAATTGTTCACAAATCGCTCAAAATTATTAAACTAATTATAAATGCAATACATTTGACCTTGATAACTTTCGTATTGTTGCTTTTCTCTTTTTCGTCCGTATACCAGTCGATTTGTCTCACTTTTCTCTTTATTTTGTTTGTATTATGAGCCCAAAATATTATATTTTAAAGGTTTTAATGTGCAGTTTTAATAAGCGAAATTGTATTGTTTACAAATCGCTCAAAATTATTAATTAAACTAATTAAAAATGCAGTCCGTTTGATCCTTGATAACTTTGGAATTGTTGGTTTTCTCGTTTTCGGCCGTATGCCAGTCTCACTTTTCTCCTCATTTTGATAGTATTTTGAGCCCAAAATATTTTATCTTGAAGGCTTTAAAACGCAGTTTTGATCCTAACGTACGGACCAGCTGGCGGCCGACAGGAGAATGTGTACTGTGTAGCGTGCTAAATATAACTTTACTTGTACATGCAGGCGGAAACGCCGAAAGTTTTATTTGTAGGCGGGCACCGCATTTTAGTACTGTGTCTGGTTTGTCTACCATTTCTTTCACTCGTTTGTCCATATTTGGGTACCAGATCTTTTCGCGTAGCAGGCTTTTCGTTTTATCAATTCCCTGATGCCTGATATGACCTAATTGTGTTGCTCTTTCTTTAGTCCGTATGTTGTGACCTCGAAAAGTGCCTAGAAAAAGATTTTCATTAAGCATGTCTTAGATCTGAAATACTTTTACGGGAACTAACACTTTCGAACACGCTGATTTCAAATCCGAAAAGTTCCCACTCCGTAGTCCCGCAGTTTTTTCACAAAATGCTATTTTATCTTCACTAATTTCACAACAAATTTTTTCATTGTTCAACGACACGGATCGATGACGATACACGATTATGTCACTCAAAAGGACCAATTTCTATTAACCATTCTTCCTTTAAACAAAAGACCGCTTTTGCTCGAATCATTCTGAGTTATGCAATCTTATGCGTGTTGGACGTAAACAACATATCTTGTCTACAACTTTGGGAAGGTACAGATAATTCCTTCTAAAATCCTTAGTTCTGGATCTATCTCTATAAAATCACAAGGACGTTAATGTCAAGTCTTGGTGCTATGTCTCTGGGATGAGAAATAATTCCTTACAAGCGATCAAAATGTTTTATACAAAGATATAAAACGGTAATCTATATGTAATGGATCAGCATTGAAATTTCCAACACGGTTTCCAAGACGTAATTCAAGAGATAAGTTATCATTGCATTTGAACTATTACATCAGTTGGTGTTATACTGTGCGATAAGCGAGTATTATTGGAAAGAGTGCTTCTATATACGTCGAAATCATCAAATAAACAGCTCATGCACACATTTCTCCACTTCGCGGCAAGTTTACAGAGCATATTTTATACTTTGTGACTGATCTTTGTCTTTGATGTGAACATTTATTCTTATAGTTTAAGGTTATTTAAGATTGATCCTGTCGTAAGTCTTCTACCTGCAACCATTCGACAATATTTCGTTTTAGCGTTGTCTTTGCCGTTACGTTGGCTTTGCGTTACTTTTGTTTTAAATATCTTGATCGCGTTAAAAGAGTTATTTTTCAGGCCAGTGACATAGCTAAAAGACTTGATATTAATGTCCTTGTGATTTTATAGAGATATCTCTAGAACTGAGGATTTTAGAAAGCGTTATCTGTACCTTCTCAAAGTTGTATAGACAATATATGTTGTTTACGTCCAACACGCATAAGATTGCATAACTCAAAATGATTCGAGCAAAACCGATCTTTTGTTAGAAGGAAGAATGTTTAATAGAAATTGGTCCTTTTGAGTGACATAATCGTGTATCGTCATCGATCCGTATCGTTGAACAATGACAAAAATTGTTGTGAAGTTAGTGAAGATGAAATAGCCTTTTGTGAAAAAACTGCGGGTCTACGGAGTGGGAACTTTTCGGATTTGAACTCAGCGTGTTCGAAAGTGTTAGTTCCCGCAAAAATATTTCAGATCTAAGACATGCTTAATGAAAGTGAACGATATCGGGTCACAACACACGGACTACTTGTAATGTTGTTGGAATGACCAGCCGCGTGTTCTTCAACAGTATACCTGCTGATGGAAAGCGTATAGGAAAGCGTACACTTACTATTTGCACAATCTTCATCTGAACCATCACCACAGTCTTCAATTCCGTCACACTTCAACGTTATGTTTATACATGCACTTCTGTCGTGACACCTGAACATTTGATCCACATGACGGCAGTGAGTCACTGAAATATGAAACAATATGGCATGTTTCTTATTTCGTACACTTCTCGTATATTCCACCTTCGCCACTGGAATGCATTTGTCTACCATTTCTTTCACTCGTTTGTCCATATTTGGGTA